ATATCTCCTTAGTCCATACCTTAGTCCTCTTCATTTCTGCCACATCCATCTGAAGCTTCTTCAGCTGTTTCTCGTACTGTGATTGGTTCTTGAGTAGGCGGGCATGCTCCTTCTGGGCCGACTGGAGCTTTTGAAGCTCCTTGTTCATGATGCTCAGCTTCTTCTCATATTCAGCCTTGATTTTGCGAGCCTTATCCTCTGTACCAGTTTCTACTGAACCTGAAAATATTCAGAAAAAATATAATACTATAACATTAAATCCAACACTGCTGTGGGACATGCTCCCCCAGCTGTGTGTGCCTGGCTATCAGCAGGTGGACTAACTGAAATCTCAACATTAGGCTACTAAAAATAAAAATTAATTAATTAAAAATACAAAACAGATTTTGTTTCGTGGAAACCTACGTGAACAGAATCACACTTTAACTTTGCAGACAACATGTTTTACACACAGTTGGTCAACTAGTGTGTGTGTGTGTGTGTGTGTGTGTGTGTGTGTGTGTGCGCGCGTGTGTGCGCGTGTGCTTTTTAACAAAACTAATAAGTCTGACTTTAAAATCCATTCTTTTAAAATCCGTCTCAGACAAACTTTGATGTACTAACTGTCCCCGTCTGCCAGCACACGTTCATAAACAGGTTTTTCATTACTAAAGAAAAACAAAGGCTCAGATCTAATAAGTATATACTTTCTGTTTGAGATTGAAATAAGCTGATCAGAGGCAGAGATATGATGAACCAAACCCACAAGTGCCTCCTGGTGGATGATTTTATCCAAACTGTCAGAGCACATGTAAATAAATTATGTCACACACTGCAGTGCTCTCCCCTCTGACTGATATGTGACCTCCCACTTCCCTCGTCGTCTTACTCATGTTTTGGAGGACGCGGTCCCTCTCCAGCTGGGTGTCTCGGATCTTGCACTGCAGCATCATCAGCTTCTGTTCGTACTGCTGTTTCAGTGTGTGTAGACGCCGCTGGCTGTTCTCCAGTTCATCAATCAGCTTCTGCTTGATGGCAATCTCACAGGTGATGTTGGCCAGATCTGCCTGGTAATTCTCTGTGAGACACCGACGAGCTGATTAAGTATCGACATCCACAGGTACAGGCATAAATCTCAAGCAGTTCTTGTATATTGTTGTTAGAAGATCCATTTAAATAATCTTGGATTACACATAGTCAGGTTTCATTTGTTTAGTCCCAAGTTCAACTTGAAAACTGAAAAGAAGTGAAAGAAAATTAATTTGTACTACTTTTGTTAATTGAGTAATTGGGTCTTATTTTATGTAAGCAGACATTTTTGTTTTGCTCACTGCCCTTCATGCATATACCCCTCAAAGTCTGGGAGTGAGTATATGCATGAAGGGCAGTATATTCTATAATGAGCCATGTAAAACCCAGAAAAACAGGACGTAACCAGGAGTTTGTACTTGAATTTTTACACTGTCTAATATTACAATTTGTATCTGTTTGGAAGCCTAAAAACAAAAAATGCTCCTTACAAGAAGCACTGAGCACAAACCCCCACCAAGGCAGTTCATTGTCTGCACAATGTTTACTTTTAAGGGAATAGCATTGTATTTTCTTTATATTCAATTTGGTTTGTTCTTTTTAAACATAGATTAAAAAGTTTGCAGCTGTTTTTAATGCACTACAAAGTGCAGCCTTTTTAAAATGGTATTTGTCCTGTTGAAGCTCACTTTAATAAACCTGACATAATTCGATAAGATTTAGAATTCCCATATGTTCTTCCCAATATTCCTTTATGTTGTCAATACAAACAATGACAGTATGAAAGAGTTTTACACAGCTCTATGTAGCATTATTATCACTATGATTTTAAAATAAATGATTGACCTTGAAAGAGAGGTCAAAGGTCAAATGTGGCATGATATTTTAAATCTTTACACGGTACATTTTGTATGTTCACAATACAGATCACGCATGTAAAAACACACTTTGTAAGGCCAACAAATCATTAAGCTGACTTAGGGCTGTTCGATATAACGATATATATCGGATGACGATATAAAAACATCTATCGTTTCATTTTACGCTATCGTTTGTTTCGTGGTGTCGCAAAATAAACTGTTTACGGCAATATTTTTTCATCGTTGTGATGGTCACTGTGGTGGCTATATTAATTTCTTCTTTCTCTCTTTCTCTTATATTTTATATAACCACACTACAGACAGACAAGCGCCTGTTTTTATGCGTTGTCGTTAGCAACAACGACGGTAACAGCATCGCGTGTCTGCTTGTTTATGTTTCACATAAACCTTTCACAATAAAGCTCAAGATCCTGTTGAGACTTTTCAAAATAAACGGAATCACGTGAAAGAGCAGATTTTTTACGGATGAGAATTAAAAAAGAGCCGCCAGGTGCTAAAAAATAAACCTTAGACTCAAACATTAGAACAGGCTTTTCCCCGCAGCACGCCGTGTAATAAATACTCACAAAGAAAACGGCGGCCTTTACAACTTATGTCTAAAAATGTATAGTTTCATGCATCTGTTAAAACACTGGAGTCCAGCTACATGACGCACAGCTGGAAACACTTCCCGCAAGACGAGCTGCCTGAGATTCACAGACTTTACAGAAAATTTTACATTTTTGTGATTTATATCGTTATCGGGACGATAGAATTCTTATATCGGGATATAAGATTTTGGTCATATCGCACAGCCCTAAGCTGACTTTAAAGACCTTGGTGGATGTAAGGCAAGTTTCAGTGGATAGTTAACATGACCCTACTCTATCCCAACAAAGTTTGATCAAAATTCATTCAAAACCTTGAGCTACTGTGTGTATAGGCACGTGCAAATGCCACCAAAAACGTCACTTTCTTGGTAAAGGTAATAAGCACCTGAATGAGAATGAACAGAATGAGAGAAAATTCTCAGGTCACTCAGACGAAAACTATCACATGAACAGTGGGTTCTCAAAGGTTTAATGATTTAGATGGCCGGCCTATGAGTGAGGCTCACAAGTATAAAGAGAACTTCAAACACATTTAAACAGGGTTCATAACATGTCTGTTTTCAGTTGCTAATGTACTGAATTTAAACGAGATCTCGTGTAACCAGCTCAAAATCTTCCATCTGAATGGGGAGAAAAAGGGGGTCGAAGCTTACAAGTGACACTTTAAAGACAGTTTCATTAAATCAATAAAAAGAAAAATTCATGCAGGATACCTTTTTCATCTGACTCTGAGTCAGAGTCATCAGAGCTCTCCTCTACATCCATCTCTTCCTCCTCCTCTTCTTCCTCTTCCTCTCCCTCCTCATGGTCACTGCCATCCTGGACCTCCTACAGCATAAAACAAATATACCTTTTTATTTCAAAGTACTAGTTAGTACACTGTATATACGAGGTTGATTATATAAATAATGGAGGAACATAATGGAGTCCGTCATACCATTTCCGTGTCCTCACTGGCCCTCTCTGTCATTTCCTTCTCTGTACCCTTTTCTTGCTCATTGTCAGGAACTTCTTCTTTGTTGACGCTGAAAGATTTAAAAGACGTTGTAATCAGTTTTCCATTTGTAATGTAAGAAGAGAACTTGGAAGCTTTTTCTGCAGGAAGTGGATTGCACGTTAATCTGCTGGCAATAAAGAAACGTTCATTTTCTGGATAAACGCAGTAGTAAGTAACATATCTGTGCATGGCATCTTTAACATCAGGGAAAACACTGTCTTTTTGGCAAAGAAGCTTTTTGACGATTGCTGCAGACACTCGTCTCTGTGAGAAAACATAAACAAGTCTTACACAGCGAGACTTAGATAAGACCACAAAATCTAAGTTGGGATTGCTCCAATTTTATAAGCTTGGTTGTGCAAAAGACAGTATTTTTAAACAAAAGAAGGGAGGCATCTCATCAGGCTGGTCAAAACTGGCAAAGTAAAGAAGCATGGAAGGAAAATGCAGTACGAAAAATAAATGTTTTAACCAAATCCATGAAGCAGATCTGTTGGATAAATATTTTATCCAAACTCGGGGGGTTAGCAATGCTAAGGTAGCATTTCACACAAAAAACACCCGGGTAAAGTGATCAAAAAGAAAATAAAAGATTAATACAGATTTTTTGTCATCCAGCCTTAGATTGTTTGAAAATAGGAGATTAAAGCTTATTAAGTGGCAAAACTGTGTTTCAGGGAGGTGATGTGCTTTGACAGTAGTATGTTTCACGTCAGAGCAGGGAAATACCTGCCCAAACATAAACAATAAAATTAAAATAAAGTGCTGAATTATGGGGAAGCATGGGAATGGCAACAGGAGGGTGGAAGCTCTGACAAACCTGGCATCCTCAACCTCTTCCACCACCACCTCCTCCCTTTCCTCCCTCTCTCTCTCCTCCAACAGCAGCTGGAGTCTTCAGGGAGGGTCAAAGGGTCAAACGAGAGAAGGAAGCAAGAGATGAACAAAGGAAGAATGGAGGGAAGACTGGTCAGAGGAAGCTCTGCACTGAAAACCACACCTTTAATCCACCTTTCAGCCCCCAAAGTGCCCCCGGGGCAGCTCTGAGTTAAAAAATAAAATAAAACCTGAGCCTGCGATCAATCTGCTGTGTTTGCTTGCACTGAAATTTACAGTGCAGCGACAGTACAGCGACAGTACAGCACTACCAGAGAACTAACGACTGAAAACATAAAGCTGATGTGTTTATGTGTATAAATGAAGTCAAATGTTTATAAATTATTCAATAAGTTATTTGTGGCTTTTAAGTGTCCTCGTTCCAATATACAAAGACGAACCTTTGAAACAAGTCAAACTGACCTCTGGGTAAAGCAATCATGCCTTTGGAAAATTATGAATGGTTTAGGATAAATAAAAATGCCATTCCAGTATGAAACTCACTCAAATATATGCACGACTGTAATAAAACATTCAACAGAGCCAATCCTCAAAACCATTTAAAAACAACAAGAACTTCGCTCTGTTCACTGTCACAGTTACCTTTTCTTCTTCTTCTTTTCTCGTTTCTTCAGTTTCTCCAGATCTTTCTTAGCGAGTTCGATAATGTCAGCAGTCTCCTTCTCGGGGGCCAGAAGAGTGGAGGAAAAGGAGCTGGACCCTCCAAAGAACGACTGACGGTTGGAGGCACGGGACAGATTCTTCCTCAAATTCTCACTGACAGCCTCGCTCTCCAGGAGTTTTGCCCTGAGGATAGCATCAAGACACCGACAGACTGTAATACAGAGCCTTCACTGTGTCTCTAGATTTGGTCCCTCACAAATGAATTTCATCTGTAATATAAATGTGTTTAAAGGCTTAAAACAAGGCTTGTGTTTAACACTGTAGATATTCAACCCCACTGTGGTGCCCCCTAAAGAGAGCAGCCGAAATAACAATGTTCAGTCTCATTGCCAATTACGAAAGTCCACTAAAACACTTCATATTTCATATAATCAGGTTGAATCTTTTTAAACAGGTTGTTTAAAGAAGTATTTTTATCGCCATTTAAATCAATGAACAGAATGATTTTATTACAACTGTGTGCACCGTTTGTGCACTGCTGCAGTTTCAGACAACATTGCTTTCCCCTCTGAAGATACCGTGTCACCAGTGTGGCTAATTCTATTTTTTCCAGCCTACTATTTATAACATTGTTACAAAATATTTCAATAAAAAGTTCTCTTCTCCCGTGCCAATTTCATCTCTACCTTTTCATTTTATCCGTGTCTACTGTATTTTAGTATTTAGTCTAAATGTTTGAACCATCCCAAGTCTGTTTTTGTTGCAGAAAAAGAAATGACGGTTTAGTTTCATCCAGACTGAGATCAGAAAAAGCTCTGGAGTTTGGTCCGCACTGAGATCCTGGGAAGATTTCACAAGTGTTATATTGACTGGGATCAAAAGTCCAGACCAAAACACTTGAACTGTGATCTCACATGTCATCAAACATTTCAGGGTAGTGACTGTTAAAAGAATGAGGTAGTCTTAATGTTTATGAGTACAGGAGGCGAAAACATACAGGAAAAGGTAAAAAATGAACAAGGGAATAAATCGGAATTCATTTACCGAAGGTCTTCAATCTCTTTAATGTAACTCTGAATCATGTTTCCAATTTCCTCTGTGCCTCCTTCACCTGTAAGAGAAACATGATAAGAGTAATGAAGGGAAAAAAGGCACATCATGTATTAACTCTGACTAGAGCGGCACAATATAAAAACAAACATCCAACAACTCTCTGCTTAAACTAATTCATAAGTTTGATGCATACCTGCACGGGCGAGAATCTGGTTGGCCTGGTCACTGAGCAGCTGGGTGAGTCGTGCCCGCTGGGCATCGATGGTCTCCTGCATGGCCTTCACCCTCACCCTCAGGTTGCTGTTCTCTGTCTGCAGCATGGAGTTTTCGTGGAACATGTCACTCAAGCTTTCCACACCGTCCTCACCCACCAAACGTTTACCCTGCAGGGGGGGCAAAAACAATATAGTTTGTTGTAAAAAGTTTAATTTTTTTTGACATGCCACATGGGTTTTTTCTCCTTCCATTTTACATAAGGCTCATCCCTGTCCTTTAAATTCCTCCCGTCTCCTCACCGTCTTGTACTCCATGAGCTCCATCTGCAGTCGAGCTATTTCCGTCCTCAGAGCGCTGATCTGCTGGCTGGCCTTGTCCTGGTTCACCATCACCTTGTTCTTGATGTTCCGCGCTCTGTTCGCGTACTTTAATGTGTTCAAAGTTTCCATGAAGTCACGGTCAGATGGACTGATGCATGCAATCATCACTGTTTGGCTGAGAAAGAGGAAAGTGACATTTCATAAATTATTTTCACACATGATCTCCACACAGTATTGGAATTATGACACTGTGGGACACTGCACCTAGTAGTTATTTCTTACATTAACATAAGAGATAAAATGTTTGAGATGTTCTCACTAATGGAAATTGTTTGGTGAGGTCAGAGAAGGAAATTATGCAGAAAAATCTAGTGTGTGGGTATCCACACCCAGGCATCTCCCACAGTTAACAGTTTTGTATCCATCTAATTAGCTGGGGTGGGTTTTTTTTCTTTCCATTTTGACTTTTCATCTTCAATTTAGTTTTAGTTAGTTTCCATGGTGGATTATCTTGTTTTAGTTTAGTTTTTATTTGTTTCAGTGTTAGTTTTTAGTGGCTTTAATCATTATTCCATGCACACATTCATCACTGACTCAGACAAGCTCTAAGAATTTTTTTTCCAAACTAACAAACACTGAAACTAATGATATTTTCTCTATATCTTTATTTTTATTTCCAAGTTCTCAAAATTGTTCCAGGTAGTTTCAATTCTTTTAAACAAGTCTAGCTTTTATTTTGCTTTTCCCCCACATCTACTTTTAGTTCAGTTTTAATTAAATATACTGTAACAGCACTGGTTCTCATCATCTTATACTGTTGTTTGATGACATTCGGTTGAAATCGTTGCCGTATCAGAAACAAATCAAGACAAAATGTTTTTATGAGGAAAAAGCTCAAATCTGTGGTCCTCTGACCTGTTTCCTCCTAATGAGTCCTGCAGGAGTCGGGTGAGTTTGGAGTCTCTGTAAGGCACATGTGAGGCCCGCTTGCTCCGGTCACCCAGAGCACTGATTACATTCCCCAGGGCGAGCTGGTCAAAAAGACAGGAGACAAAGGGAGACAGGATGTCATAGAGAGGCAACAATTTGCTATCAGTCCATTTGTAGAGTTACAGTTAACACTTTTAGCACTACTTTTTTTTTTAGTTGCGATTTGGGTGGCCACATCCCAGAAACAGCATGTTTGTGTGGAACAACGTGGGATCCCTGGTCACTCTAACTGTGCTGACTTTGTTCAGCTGGAAATACTTCATAATTCATTCATTTTTGAATTTAAGTATATTTGTAAAGTCTGCCACCAGATGGCAGTATATCATTAGACTTTGAAGTCTTTGCTGCCTCACAAATCCTGGTGCAAGAACAGGCAGACTCACCAGTCCACAGTTAATGGAGATGCCCTCTTTGGCTCGATCACCCGTCGCTCCGGTTCTTTTCAGCCGCTCCGAACCGGCCAAGTCCACAAAGTGAAACTTGGCCGTCAGTGTCTCATACTCGTCCATCTCAGAGTTACCGTTGGTGACTCGATTATCAGTGTCATTTTCTTGCTGTGTAAAAATCATGCATGTAAATGCACTCAGTGACAGCAGCATGTACACACAGATTTTTTTACCCCCAACAATCATTGATAATAAAAAGGAGAAAAAAAAAGGAAAGAAATGATATTATTGATAAGATCTAACAGACATGATTTGCAGTGATTTATTGACGTACATTGTCAGAGGCACAGACGCGGACTTGGCACAGGTGGATGGTGAAGATGGCATGAGATCGGGAGCTTTGGACGTTCATCTGAGTGCTGGCTGTGGTGCGAGACAGAGCCCCCAGTTTCAGGCACTGCATCATCTACAGAGTCAGGCAGAGCATTAAATAGTAATACAACGGTTGAACCCACTTTGAAACATTTGGTGCAAAAAACAACAGCAAAGTCACAAAACAAAGTGCAGTGCTAAAAATATATTTATACTGAATATATGAAGCTTTACTCCAGTAACGCTTGTAGCAGTGCAAAGGTTTATACCCAAGAGTACTGAGTAAATCTTTGATACCAACCTACACACATTTTGTCTTGGGGATGTTTTGTTTTAGAATAAACTGATGCTTAAAGGGAAATCAATGATGTCGCGCTGAACACCTGCATAACAGTGCAACACATAATCTGTGTTACCTCAGCTTCGGAGGACACCGTCCGTGTGGTCACTCCCACTGTGTAGATTCCACCGTTGGCATCTTCATGGATCTTAATGTGAGATTTCTGCTTCATGTCTCGAGCTGAGTCAAAGAGGTCCAGAACTTCCTCGTTGTAAAGCTGCAGGAAGACGCAAGAAAATATTTCAAAGTAGCAGGAACAAAAGATTATTCTGTGATTGCTGTGTCGTTTCTGTCTACTACCCTATATTATTATCAATGTTTGCTGTTCTCAGATCTCTTGAAGAGATTCTGAGATCAAGCGTCTCATTATGTAAAAATCAGAACGGAAAAGTTGAATAACTTACAAATTGCAAAAATGCCAGTGGGTGTTATGTCTTTCATACTGTGTACAGGCCAAACAATAAGTTACAGCAGCCCGTACAGTAAACAGCCCTGAGAGGTGAAAGCAATGAGTGTACAGTGAAAGACTCACTGCTCATTAAGGTCACTGCTTTTAGCACACTGTGATCACTGAAGGTGAGTCAAATAACAGAATCAGCTATTTTAAATCAACTCGGCTCTCATTTTGATTATGGCAGTAAAACAGAGCTTTTCATTAGCTACATATTAAAACGTTTTTAGAAAATATCTCTTGAACCACTAAATGACTGAGAAAAAAAGCAGTATACGTTTCACAATATTGGGTCTAAATGATATATAGACATCTCATCCACTGCCAAACAGCTTGGAGCTTTCATTCTCTCTCTTTTTTGTTAAACTTAAAGCAGCTACCAGTAGTTTTAAGGTAATCTGCACCATCTAGTAACTTTTGAAGCCTTAGATCTAAAACGACATCTTATTTGCCGTGTGTGACCATCACCATTATACTGCCTCCCCAGCTCAAGATGAGCCTGATGGACTAGCACAACTGTCAAGTCACATCATCCCTATTAAATCTCTATATCCAGAGACAGACCTTCTATCACCCCCAACCTGCCCCATAACACCTCCTAATCCCACCGACGACAGCTGCTGCAGTGGCAGTGTGGATATTTTCAAATGACTGAGCACCATGTCAAAGCCTGTTAAACCAGCGGTGTCAACAATATTAGCCTGACCCATGACACTGGAAAGTTTAAGAAATGTGTGTTTTCATTTACTGGGTTAACTTTTGACAACAACAAAAAACAGGTTTAAAAAAAAAAAAAAAAAGCTGGAAAGTGGGTGTGTACCTCGAGGAACTGTGCATTGATTTTAAACTCTGGTACAGGACGTCCCTGCTCCTGGGCGGTCCGCCGGCGCTCTTCAATGCCCTTGAAGAGGTGGTGGACAGCACGGGGGATGATACCCAGCTCTTCGTCTGCTATGTTGACATCGAAGCCAGTCCCCATGGTGTACGTCTTCCCTGAACCAGTCTGGATGGAAAGGGAAAAATAAATATAATAACCGCACACATGGCATTCAGACTGGCCTTCCTGATGACCACGGAAAGCTTTCAAACGTCAAAATTTGCAGAACTTTTAGTTCTGAGAAACATTTTTACTAGACTGATTTATCGCTTTTATTTTATTACAGTGTGTCCTGTTTTAAACTTGTAAAGCTGTCAGCTGCGATCAGTTTCATTTTCCTTCTGTACTGCTAGTAGTAACGTATTATGTTGTGTGATAAAGAGCTGTTACTACTTGCTACTTAGTAAAGCAGAAGTAAAGCATCTCCAATAACTGTTAACGTCACATATCTGTTTAGCAGTTTTCACTTTGAGCTCACAGAGCACTTTGGCTGATTTCTTTAAACAGTAGGGAGCTTTTTTGTGCACATGTCATGTTTTCCACTGGTGTTTCCTCTTTCTGGACATTTACCAGAATGCTGAAATGAACATTAAATATTCAAGTGTGAGCATCGATAATGGATGAGCCCAATGAAAAAAAACAAAAAAAAACCCTCGAAAAAACAAAAACAAATAAGAAAAGAAATCTTGCTCTGTTCATATTTTTAAACCTCTGAGGACCAAATCATCATAAGTGGTAACCAATGTTGAGGATGGCCCTCAAAAACTAATGTATTACACATTACTCAGTTCTTTATTTAAAGTAAGCTGTCACTCTGTAAAATGACCTGAATTGCACTGCAGCATAATTATCAGTTAACAATAGAAACCTTTTTGGCTTTGCATTAGCATGGTGCCTCTGTAGATGCTTGCAAAGATTCAGTGTTAGCAGAGCTCAGTTTGCACAGTGTCTGTTAACTAATTCTGAAAGCACTGGAAAAAATCCATTACGTTTTACACTACAAAATGAGCAGTGTATTTACATTGGAGCTATAAATGAAGCAGGTTCTAGTCCAGGTAAACTTTGCAACTCTGAAAAGTGCCATCTTGTGGCTGCATTTGCTCAGTGAGTTTTACAATCCTACTGACAAAAACATAAAACATTCTGCTGTATTTCACACAGTTTCTTAAAACTAAGCCAGGGCACTGAAGATTCAAAAGTGCTTTAAATATCACTGATTTATTCTCTTTCCTCAACATCAATGCCGTCTGTTTATTTCTGTAACCCAGTCTAACTGAGTTCTTGTGATGCAGCCGAGTGGGTCGGTCTAAATCTAGATTAGTGCCTCTAAAGCCTAAGAGGCAAGCAGATCTGATCTGGGACAAACCAACCGCTGTGTGCGCTTAATGTGTGGATGTGCTTTGAGAAGTAGGCCAACATTGAGAGAAGCTGTTACTAGGGAGATCCAGGTTAATATGGACACACATTAAAGATGTATATCTGTCTACAAGGTGTGTGCGCTTCACTTCTCTACTGAATCGTATGCAGCAGGAGCTCTGCTGCTAAAGAAACCCGAGTTGTAGGGGGGATGAAGGGGGACCAGAAACTACAGGTTATTTCCATGTAATGGAAATGCTGAAAAAGAAAAACATTTTTAAAAGGCTGGAACTCGTTTTTAGTATCAATTAAACATGATATTGAAAATGAGTGAAAGTGAGAACTACTTACTTCAGGTAAAATTTTAAAAATACATTTTTAAAACAGTAAAAACTTACAAAAACAATTTCACCAACCCCAGCATGTTAAAATAAAAAGTCCAACAACAATCTAATATCTGAAATTTGTTGTCTACCTCAAAACCTATTTGGCACAAAGTTAAAAATGATTGTGCTTTATGTAACAGTTTAAAAAGACAAGGGAAAAACAACAACATCAAAACATCAAGCTTTGTCTACAAAATTTCAATTTATTGTGCGTAAAGCTTCCTTTGTTAAAAAGTAACTAGCCAAATTGTGACTTTTCGGGTTAGATTTCTTGGTACTTTGTGGATAGATTTAACGACAAGAATACATAGCCATCACCACTAATTTTTTTCAGTGTTTGATTTTACAGCTGACGATGCAACTGGTTGCCGTCGGTGCTACCACTCAGCCTCCTAGCACATATACCCATGGCATCAATTTCAAAATCCTTCGTCACCATGTTCTCGTTTTATTGCATTCACAAGATTTTCAGAAAACTTGATATTTGACCTTGTTGTCAAGGCCACTGGCATTTAATCTTGTCCAACACTTTTAGCAGATGCTCCTATGGTATCAATTTCAAAATCCCATATTCGCAGATTCTCCAGTTATTGCACTTTGCAAATTTGGGTGTCCCCGCCACCCGCCTGCCAGCGGGGTGACAACAATAGCCCCATCAGCCTTTTATGGCTAAGGAATAAAACAAAGTTATCAATACCTTACAAAGCTTTATAATGGCAGTATCGCTGGCAGTGATTATGTAAACATCAGTGGCAAATACTCAATGTAATGGAAATATTCTGCTTTTCTTTTTCTTAGTTTGTCATTTGTGATGAATGTAAACAGTAAACATGGCCAAATCTTTAAATAAAAAGACCAGCGTAAAGAACCAGTATAAGATGAATAAGATTTTTTTTTTAACTGCAAATCATAGAAAAATGTCTATTTTACTGCACTTTTTCCAGTTATGATGCAGATGCACAAATGAGCACAAATCAGTTTTTGAGCAGTGGAAACGGGCCTTTTTTTTTTCTGAGTATCAACTTGCAAGATTATAAGTCAGATAAAGAGGGTCAGAGGAGCTCACATGATTTCAAATGCAGATTTTAACAGCCAAATATATTAGTTAACAAGAGAGTATTGTGCATAAAAGACCAGGGACCAGGAACACCAGCAGTGCTGCAGTTTTGACACCAAGGACAAAGACTTGCCTGTCCATATGCAAACACAGTGGCATTGTAGCCCTCGAAACAGCCTTCGATCAGCTTCTCTGTGCAGGTACCGTAGATGGTCTCCTGCTGCGAGTCCATATCAAACACAAAGTCATAGGTGAAGGCCTTGTCTTTCCCCAGGATCACCTGGGGCTCTCCAGGCATCACATACGTACAGATGTGACATCCCTCAATCTTCTCCCTGGCCAGCTGAGGACGAATCCTGCAGAAAATCCAGAAACAGTGATTAGGCTCTGCCAGGTTTCCTTGTTTCTGTGTACAATAGTGCTAAAAGTTCTATATGACTCGGGCAAAATGCTCCTTTCAGTTAATACAAAGAGAAAAAAAAAAGCCATCAGAAATGTGAAAGGGATGCATTACATCGTCACACAAATTCTGACCCTTCTAGGCCCATTCTTTCAGCACCATGTCTCACCTGGGTTGCAGGTCACTGTAATATGACCAATTAGAAAAACATTCATCACAAATCTCCAGAAGGAGAGATGTCTCCAGAAAACCATCTCTCCTTCATGCAGAACCAGCCTCAGGGCAGCCATCTGCCAAGACCACTTGAGGTTGAAGAGAGTAATTAGTTCTGCACTTCTGTATAGGTTAGCACAATCATGCTACACAAGAAAGTAAACAGAAGATCAAAGTGCTGTACAGGGATATTATGGCACCTTCTCATTAACAACACACATCTGCATGACATAAAAAAAGGCATGCAAAAGCTGTGGTTCAAACTGTTCATCTTAACCAAAATTCATCTTAAATCTGTGCACAAGCCACACGTTGTTCTTTTTCAATAGGTAGATCACAGGGACATAGTGGATTAAACATTATCACATCAGCGATAGATGTGTGGATCTGCAGGGACAGATTCAACACTCTGGATCCTATTGTGACCCAGTATTTTGATCTGTAAAATATGCCAGCTGGGTGAATCTGTGCTTTAGTGTGTCTGTGTGAGCGCATGACAGAACTGCTGTGGTTTTGGCCAACTGAAATCTGGCAGGGATTAACTAGAGTAATGCGAGTGTGGAGGAGTAAGACAAGGTAGACAGTAGCACTGTGTGTGCTCATTGTGCATTTAAAATGAGCATTTCTTTCTTTGTTGAAAGAACAGTACAGCACACACACCACATATCCACAGAGGGCGTGAATTCAAGGACAAACACAAACGACAGCACTTATTTAATGGTTGGTCAGTCAGTCAGTTTGGTATGTAGGCAGGCAGGTCGGTTGATTGATAACAGGGCGCTGTTAAAATGCTAAGCAAAGAAGCTATACCGAATGACAGCAACATCAAGAAGAACGAACAGGAGAAGCTCAAGAAATGTCAAGGGCTGAGAGAAGAACTCAAGATGTGGAAGGTGAAGGCAACCGTGGTCCAAGCGGTATTCGGAGCCCTCGGTGCAGCGGAGGACCTGAGCAGGGCAAGTGGCAGTTCTAGGAATCGCAAAGATACTGCACAGGACCCTCAAGCTCCGAGGCCTCTGGGTAGAGGACCCGAGCTTGAAGGATAAAAACCGCCTCGCAGGGCGAGAGAGGAATTTCTCTTTTAAACCATCGTAGTGGGAAACTGTTACTTACAGCCCAACATAGAATAAGTACTGATCTTGACCATCTAATCTTGGAGAAACTTTCTTCCATTGGTTTTGAGACAATTCTAAGAAATAGGGCTATTTTACTGAAAAAAATAACTATAATTATGAATTAAAAACAACAACAACCAAGCTTTATTCGTCACATACACAATGATTACACACACATACAACATGCAGTGAAATGTTTTGTGTCCGAGCTGTGGACAGGCTGCAGACGTGGCCACGCCATTCCAGGGTTTGGTTTTTAACATGGGGGTCTAGCCAGGACCCTTACTGGATACTGGGGGGGGGGAGTTGAACTGCGACTCCCACCCCAAAGGTGTGCAGTCTTACCACTACACTATCCAGCTGCTGAAAAGGGCTGGATAATACACTAGCTCGAAATTAGATCAAAATGGGATTAAATGAAAATAGGATTAAAGACAACCCTCCAAATGTGATCCCTAAATCTGATATGTTTGCCATTTTTCCATTTCAGACAACTTTTTTTAATGGCTGATAATAAAAATGTAAAAAGAAAAGAAGAAGGTTTAACGGAAATGCTCTTCAACTGCAAGAGTAAATAAATACATGAGAAATGAAAGTTGAAATGTTTGGCAAACCTGTTTATGTTTCATATA